GTACAAGTTGATCTTTTTTCAATTTAATCCTTTTGGTGTGATTTGTGGCTTGATTTTGTTGTTCTATGTGAGCATTATATTTTCTTCATCATCGTGAGTTTTGTGATTTGTGGCCTACAGTAGTGAAGAAAAAAACCAAGTGTCACCACCAAGGACAACCAATGTGATTGAAAGGGGAAATTGCTCGCCCTTGAGAGCTTTTGAGCGATGATCATATGAAGCGTGGTAAGGTAACTAATATACTTTTCAAATTAGAAGTACTGTTAAATTGTATGTGTTGAAGGTGATGATGATGCGATGATGATGATATATGAGAAATTGGAGTTAAAATTGTATGTGTTTCTCATATGTGCTCATAATTAAGTCTTGGGTTCCTTCTTTGGTTTACTGTTATTAGCTCAAGAATTCTGAGAAATTGGAGTTAATCCTTTGACTTATTTGTCTGTTCATAAATATTATGAGGTTTATTGCAGGTTAGCTATATATACTTCTTAGTTTTCTAAGTTGTAATTAGGAAGTAATCTGTGAGGGTTAGTTGCTTCACCCTTTATGTAATATAAGGGGATGGAAGCCATAAGATCACTAAATGATTTACGGTATGTTGAAGGGTCGATTTTTGTGTAATAATTTTCTAACATTGCATTGCACTCATAGGACCTGCATAAGAGATTAGTTTGGGATAGTCTTTCTGTTTACATACGTTGTTATTAAAACGTCATAGCCAATGCTGGTAGAGGTTGGGAAATGATGTACTGGAATATAAACATAAATTCTGGTAGGGATTTTATAGCGTCTTTGAAAGTTTTGAATGCTTGCTTCTTCCATTTGCCTTAATCTTCTTAATATCTAATTTATTTGTTGTGTTTCTCTATTTTTCTTGTAGTGTCATAAAAGACGGTTAAGAATGGCTGTAAAAACCATAGACAATGATGTTTTGATAATGGACAAAACTTCTTGTGTCGATACAGCTGTTGAAGAAGCACAATGGGCAATAAATTCAGCATATAATCGAGGTAAATTATCGTGCTTATTGTTTCTTATGTTACTTATTCAAAATCATTTTTACTGCTCATGCATGGATTTATGTTCATGTAAGACCAGTGGGTTTTGTTACTTTGAAGATTGATATCTCTATTATTTTGCACATGTATATATCATATATATGGTTACTTTCCTTGATTAGTAGGAGGTGAAGTATTTGACATCACTTTATCAGCATGAAATTACTTTTGGAGTTTACCTGACACTGGTATTTGTTGCAGTCTCGGATAATCGGTTAGCTGCGGGCCTAATCCAACTATGTGGGGTGCCTCTGCCTAAGCCATGGAGAAGCGGGAAAATATTTTTAATGTCTGCACAACATTGTATAAAATCCGAATGAATAGCATTAGTGAAATTTTGAACATTTTCATTTAATATTTGTGAACATGGACCATCAAATAAAATGTATGCTATTTCTAACTTTATAAATTCCTGAAGTCGGGTTACGTGTCAAAATATACATTCGTATTAGCGGCGGTTTTCTTAACCGTTGCTATAGATCCTTTTAGCAACGCTTAGCGACGACTAAAAGCGTTGCCAATCCTATTTTGCATTATGGGTATCAAAATTTCGTCACTAAAGCCCTTAAAACCGCCGCGAAATCTTGAAAATCGCTGTTAAATGTTTTAAACCGTCATTTAAAACTCTACTGGCTACTTTCTGCTGATTAGAGCCCTACTCCTTTTCTTTTCCAGCTGAAATTCATTTTCCGGCTTATACTGCAGGAAATTTAGCAAGCTACAAATCTGAATTTCATTAACTATTTCTCCTATCAATATAGAGACTCTTCCGTGTTAAGAAATAACTTGTAAATTTGCTCTTAATATCGCCTACAATCAACTTAGTTCGCATAGGTTTCATGAGTGTATAAAAAATAACTTGAGCTTAAACTTAATTTCCTATTATCAGATTGCAACTGGGTTGATGGTCTGTCAACAATTGGGGGGAATCAATGGGGTCTATTTCTATGTCAGCATTTTACAAAAAGAATAGCTTGGCCATCTGACACTACTCTAATCTTTCTTTCCGATATCTACCACTTCCATGTATCTGTCTGTATCTTTCATCTTTCTGTGTGCAAACCGAATCACTCGCTTAAAGCAGATAATCTTGTTACAACTGAAAGCTAAATACTATAGTATTTGAACTATCTCAGGCTTTACTCCCAGACTTGGAACTATAACTATGCTATTCTTCAGGTTCTAAATTCCTACTATGACAGCTCTTTGAATCCTTGTAGCAGCCGTAATGGATAAAGCTGGAAGAAAGCCTCTAATTTTGGTAAATTAGTGCACAGTTTAGTTCTAAGAATCTTCTGAGATAATTAACACCTATTCATACTCAGAAAGTGCAAAGTTTTTCCAATTTATTCTAGGTTTCTGCATCATGAAGAAGGAACACTCCAGCAAAGTGCAACTCTTTGTGGGTAATTCTCATTGAAATTTTGACAGCACAATCCAGCAACCTGCTAGAAGGATCACTCTTCGAAACCACAAGAGTTGTACTGTTATTTTTACAGATGATTAAATTGATTCGTGCCAGAGTGTTTTCTTTGCTTTTATTAATCCCAAAAGATCTGATGCTAATTGTAGATTTGATTAACATCTCTTACAAAAACAAAAGCCATAAGCAAACATAAACAAGAACCAACAAATAAACAAGTAAGAGACACAGAGTAACAGACGATTATGAACAAATTTTACAAGAAACATTTGTTACAACAATGTATTAGTTAATCAGAACTACAGTTCAAGGTGAAGAACTTTCAGACACGTGTGTTGTACACTACACCCGTAATTTAAGGTTCAAGATATAAATCATACAGGAGGACGCATCTTGCCAAGAGTAAACCTTGATTTCTCTTTCTTGTCAAGAATTCATACAACGGTAACAAGAGCACACCCTTCAAGGAGACGAGCAATTTCACGATTTCTTATGATTTTAGGTGGTTTATACTGACTAGCGGGTGCTCCATCCCTGATGGCTACCTGTGATAGCCTGTCAAAGCTACCAGGCTTTACAACATATAATAGCAAAGGGCCTGATTCACCTCTCTCTCTCTGGACCCCGTAAATGCCTCCCAAACCATCCTCGAGGGAAGAACAAAACCTCCTTAGAACTACAACTGACTCCTCTATCTTCTCTTGCATAAGTGACAGGCATCCCTCTTCAACTTCTACAAATACCTTCAACTGTTTTGGGCTCAACTCCATGTCTACAAAACTCGCAAACTCTGTAATCTCCATTTCCATTGCATTTCCAAGGTCAAGCTGAAACTTGTGGATTGCAGACATCAATTCCTTCTCAGTTATAATCTCATTGGGCCCTTTGGGTGCTTTCATGACATATTCCACTTGTGGAGATAAATTATAAAAACCAACAACCCTCACTATATCACCCAAATGATACCGGTAAAATCCTCTGTAAGTAGTGACAATGACTTCATACATCTTCCCCACTTCAACACCAGAAATATCGACTGTTTCTTTGCCAGCAGCATCAGTCTCGTTCATATCAAATGGAAGAAACTCAAAATATGCTGCAGTTGGAAGCAAAACAAATCGAGTTTTCTCGGGGGGTTGCATAATATCCAAGTTAATACCCACACAGCATTCTGAGGCAAAATAGTCTCCACCTAAAAGAGGTATCTCTCCTGCATAGTGCTTAAGTTTTGGATAATACTGCTCCATACTTCCAGTAGTAACACACCTAACATAACGAACATTTGGCCATAACTTGCTCACAATCCCACCCCGACTCTTTTCCTCGAAAACTGATCGAACTCTCTTTGCCAAGTCCAGTTGAGGCCCACCAAGAACCTCAACAACAGAATTCCTCATTGCAACATCAGAAATCTCCAAATTCGGGAACCCATGTTCAAGATCATGACATAGCTGCTCCCACTTGGACTCTAGAAGGCAAAACACTTTGATCAAGCCTATGGCATACGGGGCTCGAATACCATCGACTAAATCAAAGCTCCTAATGCCACATAGAAGATGGCAATACATTTGGTGCTCGGCATTGGACCCAAGAATAACTTCCCGGGGACTAACAATAAAGCTAAGCTGAGACCAATTTGCATTGCCACTCTGCAAAGGGTATGTGGAAGCAGCCATAACCTTAACACCACCTCTAGTAGTTCTTACATTATCGGCATATATAAACCATAGTATCTTATTGACTGTAGGCCTTGGAGGAAACAACCTAGATACAAAATTTTAATACAAATTTATAAATAAACCCAATCCTAGACATGTATTTATAAAAAAACCTAAGCACTATTTAAACATAGAAACACACCCAAAATCAACCCCAAAGTCAACTTTTTGGGTGTGTTTATAAATGGGTTTTGAGTTTGTGTAATGATTGGTTTTGGGTGTGTTTATAAAGTGTTTTGGGTGTTGGGTTTTTTTATAATTTCAACCTCCATTTTGGGTGTTTTAGTGAAACTCCCAAATTTTAAACCAAACCCATCACAAAAAAACCTAAGTTAAATACGAAAATGAAAAACAGAAATCAAGAATTTTGTTAAAAATTATACCTTTTGAGAATTGCGGCACTGCCTTGGTGAGCTATGTAGGAGGCGGCTTGGGAGAGTTTAGAGTCGAAGTAAGGTATCAACTTGGGCCTCGGTGAACTTGTCCCGGAGCTTCAACAACCAAAAAATTATATAAAGGACCAATTTTTCATTTAGATTTGCCATGGCAGAAGAGTGAGATCGAGAGTCAGATTGATGAATATATATATATATATATGTATGTATGTATGTATGTACCTGTAGAAGAAGCAGACCAGAGGATCGACAGAGAGGAGAGGTTGATGATGATGACGTGGACTGTCGGCCATTTGATTGATGAGGTCAGCGTAGTCATCGTACGAAGACAAGGGCACGGAGCGGGGGAACGTGGCGTCGTCTAGCGGCGCATCGTGGGGTGGGAGGTAAGGCTGGAGATACAACACGGTACCGTTTTGGTCGAGGATGGAGCGGAGTGTGTCCAGCTGGTGACGCGTGGCGTTGCGGGTGGAGTCGTCGAGTTTCAGAAGGAGCTCGTCGTCCGTCATATCGTCCAGTCCAATGAGGCAAAAAGAACAAAGACGGCGCGCTTTTGCTCCAACAGAGGTGACACGTATCTATAAAAACTCAATAATGCCCTTACTATTTTCGTATTTTTGTAGGTAGAAACGACTTTAGCCATTTTTCGTTATTTTCAGTTTGACCCCAAGGTTAGCTGTCGTGTAGTGAAATATTTTCCAATTAGGCCCAAATACTCGTTGAACTTTTATATGCTGCCACGTGTCCGTATGTACTCTCCCAGGCCTAGCAAAGAAAAGGTTTTGGACCGTTGAAGAAGCAGAGCAGAGGATCGAGAGAGAGAGAATCGGCGGAATATGGCGGCGTCGGGCTGCTCCATTGATGCCTGCGAAGCTAGAGATGACTGAAGAACGACGCCGTTTTGATCGCGGATAGAAACATGTTGGTAGTTTTAGTAAATGAAAGCAATTAAGCAAATGAAAGAAGTGCAAAACTCATTTCTTGATCAACGACCTGATCATCATCATGATCATCAAGATCATGTTTTTCTTGGTGCGGAGGTTTCGGACTTGACGATGTGTACGGAGATTCTGGGCTCAGAGAGCGGCGATTTCATGGTGGCCGAGACTCTGTGGACGGCGATGGCCGATGAAGACGTCCGATCAGGAATATCGTCGTCTTCTTCTTCAGCATTAAAACTGAGAACGACGTCGTCAATGCTGAGGAAACAGAGGCTGATGAAGAATTTGGCGCCAATGCTGCCATTGCTGTCCACGCTGGACATGTACGGACGGCCAAGATTCACTCTGGAAAGGAAAACGAGGATGATGAGCGACGGACGGCTCTTGATTTCTATAGACAAGGAGCAGCGCCCCAGGGCTGTGCCGCCTAATGGGAAGCGGAGGAGCACTAGTAGTAGTATCAGTAAAAAGCTAGTGCTTTCTTACAATTCAGACTCTGATGATGAAGAAGGTGAAGAAGAAGAAGATGATGATGATAGAGAAGATTCGGAGAAGAAACGAGAGGGTTTATCAAATTGAAAATCTATACTGTGAAATTAATTGGTGTTAGGTAATTTTGATCTTCTTCAATTCCATAGGAGGATTTGGTAATTTTCAATTTCATAGTAGAAGATTCAAGAAAACGAGGGAGAAATTAGTCTCGTTACGAAATCGTCTCCGTGACGTTCTTGATTTTCTTGATCATCCTGCAGACTTCGCAGTCGCAGAGAGAGATCAGAGGTTGATGAGGAGGAGGGATTTCCCGCCATTATTGTTTACACTGAATGGGAACGGACGGGCAAGATTCGCTATGAAGAAAGTCAGGAGCGATGGACGGCTCTTGATTTTTGTGGAGAATAACTAACCCCCCCGGCAGTTGAAAAACAACCACAAGTAGAAGAAGTTCTGTGATTTACAGTTTTGAATATGAACACAACCAATTGATCGTGCATGACTACTTTACATAATTTGCGATCATCGACTTGTTTAGTTAATTAAGAAATTGGATTGGATTAATTTATACTAGACTGTAGTCTGCAGAAGTAATTACTGTTTTAACTCCGTTTTCATAACTAGAGCTAAAAACCATGCAAATTGCGAGAACATTTTCAGTGGGGCTGCCGAATGTGGCACCCCCTTAGAACGGAGTATGATTAGTGTGAGGTTGTGTTGGACCAGATTACAGGATCTTGTTTTTTTATTCATAAGAATATTCAAACAATTCACGTGATCAGACTACGCTATCGAAGATTATATCACGAATTGCAATGCTTAATTAATATAGGGTCTCATTTTTAATTTGCATAGCTTTGAGCACCAATGTCATTTTCTCCTCCACAATGCAATTTGTTTGAATGCCAATAGGGCACCCAACGATTGATCAAAGAGTGATCTATGGACGACACCCAAGGTGTCAACTGGGCTATTGCTGATATAACATGCTCCTCCTACTCATTGATTGCACAAGAAAATATGATGGTTTGGCAAAGAAAATATGTCTTGCACAATGAAGACAATATTTCCCTTTGCCATAGTTGTTGTCACTTGTACTATACGTTTGGAATTGTATATAAGAACTGAGAAGGGGATGCATTTAATGTGAAAGGTTGATAAGACTAATGGTCAAAGCAGCTCATCTTTCTCAGTCAAAGTTTACATTCAATGTCTGGGGTAACAAAATAGAAAACAAATCAAGAAAATGAAGAACAAAGAAATCACTCTGATAATATATTAACTTTTCAATCTGCTGTACAATTTGAAGAAAAGACAAAATGCTAACCACACCCACCAAATTTCATCTTTTTGTTATTTCATCTGTTGTTCTGTTCCTAATAACCCAAGTAGACAGTAAATCAATCTTCCCATCCTTTAACAAAACCAACACTAAATCTAAACTGTAAAAACACAAGTCAATTAACCTATATATTATTTCTGATCATATCTGTGGAAGTTTCCATATCCCTTTTGATGGAGAAGTAGTGTTTGTTATCTTTGTAACCTTTTGCTTCATTTGCCGCCTTCTGATGTGATCTTCTCCAACACCATTATCCACTTTTATCACATCAACCCTTACTATATGATGATCTGATGTCCCTTTGGAAGAAAACACTGAGTATGACCCTGGAACAAACTTGTAGGGTGAATTAGAAGATGCCAATATGTAATCCACCCTGGTTCCATACTTGCAGGTCCCCTGCACACCTGCATCAAAACATAAATCCAGGCATTTAGAAGGGGATTAATTCGAATTCGTCGACTTTTTTAATTAGGCCTAATTGGGAAGAGAAAAAATAATAATAATAACACTAGGGTACAGGTGGGTTCTTGTACTTTGGCCCTTGGCAATCATAACCACTGATTCATATTCTCCTTCAAAGTCCTTAGCATCTGTATACTGTTTACTCTTCAAGTATCTCATTACTTCAACCTTAGGCCTTGGCTTTCCCATCTCCTCATAATACTGCAGCCAAAGAAAAACAAGGTGATTAATTAACTATATAATCAGTATACATAATTATCATTAGAAACCTCAATTATGTATCACCTTTACAATATCAGTCCATCTTTCTTGAGAGTAGTCTGATTCATCCAAAGAATTGAGACCTCCAGCCAAGATGTGGGGTTCATTGCTAGATTGGATTATAGCATTGATCTGCCTCATCCTCCAGTTCTCATCAAGATGGTCAAGGTGGGTGCAGTGGAAGTTGACTTCTCCTGCTTCAGGAACATCTATGGTGGCCTTTAGGACATTCCTGTGTGTGTGTCATTTTCAAGCACCCAATTTAGTTAATCTTTCTGTCCGATTTTCACTTATTACTAAAAGTGATTTTACATCGGCAATAATCATGATGTTTTCACTGTTAGCAGAAAAATAGAGGACCAACAACAGTTAAAGGCAATGCTGCCTTTTCAAGAAACAGAAAGATGTAAAAGTCTCGTGTATCTTAATCATGCTAATTATTTTATTAACATAACCCACCCATACTGCAGTCCAGTCATACCAATGCACTCCTTACCTAACATTACTTTTTTATACTCCTTAACAGCGATATTTCTCTTTCATTAAAAGGGAGCTTAAGGTTAGCTTGGAGGGTTAAGCCTTGTAAAGTTTGAGTGATATTGACAATCATGGATGGTAAAAGGCTTTTCTATCATCAGATACCTTTCTGAATAGAGAAACATCGCTAGATATTGAAATATGAGTAAACTAGTACATCTGTAATTCCAAATTTCAAATCCACCAAGTACAATCCTAACCAAGTGCTCTCAAGCGACAGATACATCTGTAAAGTTGGGATTTTATGCAGCATAGAAATGCATTAAGTTTTAGTTCCCCCCGCCCAAAAAAGAAAAAGAAAAAAAGAAAAGCATTAATTTGTGATTCAGAAATCGGGTTGCCAAGGAAATTATATGAAATGAGGTGCAAATTTCCAAGAAAAACTTGGTTAGGATATTCCTCAAAAACTCAGTAAATTTGGAAGCTTTGATTTATCAGCTAAGAACATTGTCAGTGTATTCTGGAAATGAATAATTATCAAGTCTCAGGACAACCCAGAAGATAATACATAAAAAATTGCAAAATTCGTGGACAACTCTGCACAGCACAGCTGTTACTGAGGAGACTCAGATAATAGCAGACCCAGTAAAACACCAAACTTTCTACCAAATATAGTTCAACCAGACAGGCTGTACGGTAATAGAAGCCCATGAACAGATAGATCACAGAATTAATTTAGGACACTGGAATCGATTCCGATATGGGCTATTTTTTCTAGCTTTTGAAAAGTTACCCAAATAATATCAGATTGTATTCTATGATAAAGTTTAGAACTTTAGAATCGCTGATGACTTTATGAAAAAAAAAAATATTAAAGTAAACATGTCTTCAACTTTGTTTTGCAAAGTCTGGGACCATAAACTGAGCATTCAATCGAAGAAATTTCCTTGAAAGCACCATCAGAAAAGAGAAAAACAGAGGACATTACTGAATGATGTTAAAGAACCAATTCTATATACAAAGGAAAAGGAAAAGTTGTAATCACCTGAAATCAGTGTCATCAAAGATTTTCTGAACCTTCGACCGCTTAATCGGCCATTTTGATAAGATGGCGTTGCCGTACTCAGGTGCCCAACTTTCAGCAAAAACATAATTCATGCCCAAAGCAGCAGCCAAATCAGACAGAGGCTTCATGGCCTTCTCTTCCTCTGCCTTCACATCTTGCAAAGCCAATATATCAGCATCCAACTCTCTCAGCACGTCAAGCACTGTCCTATGGCTTCTATAAAACTCTCCTCCATCTGCTGTGCCATTCCCAATATTTGCACAAAAGCTCACACTTGATGATCTCAGAGGAGCCTTTCCTCTCAGAAGTCTAGTCTTACCAGTACTACTTGGACAAGAAGAGTCTTCCTTTCCTCCTCCTTCAGAAAAGTTCAATTGTCTATTTCTCAGTAAAGAAATCTCATTGTCAGGCAAATTGATCGAAACCCGTAACTTGGATTTCACAAACTTCTGTTGCTTAGAGAGATTCTCTGTGTTGTTCATTGAATTGGGATGTAAAGGAGATTGCTTTAAAATACTCTTTGGCCGATCATTTACAGACTTTGCTCGAACGTTAATGTGCCTAACCTTCATACTATCTCCATTTTCATCATCAAAGCTCTCAATTTTCTCACTTTTTGGAACCGCAGGTGCCATTGAGAACAGGGCAGCATTAAAAGTCGCTATCCTTACAGGCCTCTCTGTTTTTAAGTCACCCAATTGACCATTGGGGTGAACTGCGGCCGACCCATTAATGCTAGCTTCATGTCTAGCGTCAAGTTGAGATTTTTTGGAGTTTGTTTTCCCAAATCGCTTGATGACAACTTTGGGCCTGGAGCGGCGGCGAACAGGCCACCGGAGGCGGTGGCAGAGGCGGAGGAGGCTCTTGTTGAGGAATTTGAGCATTGGGAAGAAATGGGGGCACAAAATGGCTGGTTCTGGTTTTTTTGTTGTTGTTGAGAGCATGAGAATGAGAATTCTAAAGGGAAATTGGAGAAAGCTGCAGAGTTGTTTTCAACTCTGGCTCTCTCTGATGGTTGTGTTGTTAGGCATGAATTTTATGGAGGTAGAAGGATAAGTTTAGTGACTTGAAACTTTGTTAGATAGAAGGTGAAAATGTTGAAGGAGTCTTCTAGGAAAAGGGTTGGTGCCACTTGGCAGTCAACTAGGGGTTGAATTAGACTTTAGGGGTTAATGATGATGCATATAGAGTCGTGGAGAGAGAGAGAGAAGAGGGTGAAATCCTATTCCCAACTGCTCCATACTCTCCAAAGAAACAAAGAAAAATGCATAACTGTATTATTTGTATATGCCCGGCCTGCTCCTAGCTAGCTAGTGGGTTTATTGGACTTTATATAAATGTCATGTCGTTTGGTTTGGGATTTAAGATTAAGATAATGGAAATGAGTTGTTTAATTAGTGAGGTCCAATAAATAAATAAACAGAGAAAGAAATGTGAATAATTATTTTTGAGAAAGGCAAAAATAAATTAATAAGAAAATTAAGGCCCCTGCCCGACAACTACAGGCCATGCATGCAAGTAGGATTCTTATTTGGAACGCCACGTCACCTGAAATCCGGCGTATCCAACTCCTATGCAAGCCTAGTGGAGCTGGACTGCTGGAGTCCATTATTTGTCAAATACTGGAAATGAGGTGTTTTATTGTAGGGCCCTATGGGCTCCTCCTCCTCTCATCATCCTTACATATAAAGGCCCATTAATTCTCTGCTGCATACATACAAATACAAAAAACCGATTATTCTTTTCTGGTTAAATAAATATGTTATGTTGTCACACCGTGAATTTAGACTATACATAGATTGATACTCTAACAAAATAACATGTCATTGACGTGAAAAAAAATAACAAAATAACATGTCAGACACGAATCGAAGAGAAATAAAATAGTGAGCATAGAAAAAGCCAAGAGAGTTAGACAACAAATGTTGACAAAAATGGAATCCGCATTCTCCTCTGGAAGATGAAGAATAATAAATGAGGGATATAAATAAAAGAATAGTAGGTGAGTTGGGATTTGTTTATGTCTTTGTGGGGGTGACTTAGTTTTATTTTAGTGCGCGTAGGTCTCTAGCTGGATATGAATCTGATGCATGGGATTTTTGGCAGCTTTTATTTTCTCAGCAAAATGACAGCTCTTATTTTCTCTCTTGTTGCCCCACCTCAGCACCTGATCATCATTTTTTGGGCTCTTGGAAGATTGAGATCGGAATATTTTAGTGGCTGTCCTAGTCTCTTAGTGGAATAAGAAACAGTGAGGCCCATAATCTGGAGAGAGAGAGAGAGAGAGAGAGAGAGAGAGGTGCAACATGGAATGTTAAAAGATGTTGTTTGCTAGAGATGGAAAGTAGGATTAATTTGATTCTTAGCAGAGAGGTCAACTGGCTTCCTGGATTTCAAGACCTACCAGTCTAAGATGAGGTTTTGATCAAACTTTTGAGATTTTTTTGGTCTGTAAGATCAAATCAAACAAGTCTATATACAAATTTATTCTTCAAATATCACGCTGAACATGTAGAGCAGCAATTTTGGGTAGGTAGCATTATATATATACAAGAATGGGCAATCATTTGCCCAATTGTGACCAGATAGAGCTTCCAATTAATGGTGTGCAGAAAGCATGGATATATAATTCTCACATGGGCATTGGCCCGAAGATCTAGAAATTTATGGCAGAAATAATAATGACCCAGAAAATTCATTTATGCAGAAGCCTACCTCATGCCTACAAGGGCCATGCAGCTTTATTAAGGTGAACTTGTGCATTGCCTTCAAATGGTAGAGCAGGTTAAGAAGCAGGTGGTTTCTTGGTTTTGCTTCTTCTTCTTCTAACCATAAAAATAAAAATAAAATTTTGAGGCTTTGAAATATATGTGTGCATGATATGTGTGTGAGAGTGCAAAGCACCTTCAAGAAGAAGAGTTTCATGTCGGGATATAGCATGATTAAACAAAAAAGAAGAAAAGAATCGTCGACAGCAGGGTTCGAACCTGCGCGGGCGAAGCCCAACAGATTTCAAGTCTGTCTCCTTAACCACTCGGACATATCGACTTCTTGTTAATTCTGTTCGGCTAATTCACTTATAACCGAATTACTTATTTTTGGAATTGAAGAACACTCACTCTATCAGTATTCAGTCCAGTCCAACAAGATGTGAAATACAGCAGCATTAGGAGATAAAAATTCTTACTTATATGAGTATGAATAGTCTAACCATTAGTTCTTTTTTAAGAAAAGAAAAATCCAGGTTGAAAAGAACCAGAATTAAAGGAATATTGCAGAAGGCATATTTCATATTATATAAAAAGGTCATCCTACACTTTACAAGGCAACTATGACTCCACAAACTCTTCTCTGTCTATTTCTTTTTTGGGGTGAACCACCTCTATGACCTGTATGACCCAGAAAATAAAAGAAAACAAAATCCACCATAGTAGGAATGAATTTAACTAAAGTTTCTTCCATTGATCCATTCAAATGATTGCTCTCATTATCCAGTCACTATTCTCACTAGAAGGTTTACACACTATGGATGAGCATACTGCACATTGATCCTTCGTTGAATTGGGGTCCTACAAGAAGGGCAGTCCTCCATTCCTTGTTTCTTATGAAGCTCATTGCATTTTGCACAAACAACCTGATGTGCACACGGAAGGAAAACCACTGACATCTCCTCAGATAGGCACATCACACACTCGCGGTCCTGTCTCAAACTTCCAGTCCCAAAATAGTCCTCGGAATTCATTACCCTCTTGATGCTGGTAAAATTTTGGGTTCCCTTTGTTGCCATCACAGTTTTTCTGTCTGACAGGCAACCTCCAAAGCTTCCAGCAGCTCCCCTTCTTAGTGCAGCAATTCTTGAAGAGTCAGACTTCAATTGAAATTCAGATAACTTGCTCTCGAGTTCTTTGATGTCTTCCATATACTTCTGCATATCATTTTCTGCCTTCTGTTTGATCCTATCCTCCTCCACTTTTGCCAAAGATTCACGCTGTTCTCTTTCATTTCTTATGGAGTTAGCATGTGCAAGTAGTTTCTCATTTTCTGTGTTCTCCCGTTTCCATCTAGCCTGTAAAATTTATCATCATTAGTAAGAAATAACAACCAGCACATCACTGGGCCATAAATTTACACCAGCAAAAACTTGAAGAGTACCAACTAGTATCACATGTGTGTTGTCTGTCTATTAAATTTTGGTTTTTAAGGTCATAACTAAACCATCCCCAACCCCATCACCCCTTATCGCTTGAGCCAAAGCTCAAGTGGAAATTTTATGTATACAATCGTGTGAACAATTCATGGAAAACGAAGATTCCTTATTATGCTCAGTGAGAACAATTGTTGACTTAGTAGGATCCCATTACAAGCAAAGATTTTGTTTAAAAACAAGGCCACGACCTTTTCCAGGGACTTAAGACTTGTTCACCAGTATCCCACGAGCGATCCAACTTAACTTGTTTCTGAAAGGTAACTTTTACATCCACGTTGAAGAAGCATACCTCGATTTGATGATGGACACTTTTTGCCTTGCCTAGATCCTGTTGAAGTGAAGCCACCTTCTTCTTTTCTGTTTCAAGCTCCTCCTGCAATGAGCTTATCTCCCCCTCCCATGCCTGGGCCCTTTTCAGTGATCTCTGCTCTTGGTCTAATGCATCCAGGTGACGTCTCGCTTTCTCCAAAGCTATTTTTTTGGCAGCAAGCAACTTCTTTTTCAGAGTGGAATTCTCCACCTCAAGCCTACAGATATTATAGTTAGCTCTCTCAACCTGGCCAGTTGCATTGTTCAAGGCATGCTCCAACTCAGACAGCCTCTTCATGGTGTTCTCCTCCAACATTTGTTTCTCCTTCTTAAATTGCTCCGCTTCTTCCTTCTCTTGCCTCAGTGTTTTAAGTTCAGGCAGTTCCTTACTAAGCCTACGAGAAACCTGCATTACCTTCTCATTGGCCCACTTAGTCCAGCCTTGTAGCTCATTCTGCAGCTCCTCCAGCCTAGGAACTAGCTTCAAAATCAGTTCATCCTTCTCATCTTGTGGTACATACTTTCCTAGAGACTTATCATATGGAATGCCAGCACAGTAATCAAGAATCTTGGGGGATTCAGAGGTGCAAACTGGGGTCTTAGGTCCAGATATCTCTTCCAACCCAGATTTCTGGGAAAACTTGGTATCTGCAGAAGGCAAGGAAGATATGGTACCTTTTTCAGGTACTGTTGATGAGCAACCTGTTGCCGATGAAGCAGATGGACTACAGGTTGAAGCATGATGCCTTCCATCTGATGAAGGGATGGTGGCTCCACCTTGAGCACTTGACTTTGAGGAACCAACTGTTGTACGTGCTCCAGGAAGTTCAGGCGGAGGCTTCATCCTCTTCTCCACAAAGAAACCACCAACTGTGACTTTCCCTGACTTGAAGCCTCCTTTTGATCCATAAGCCCTGTAATTTCTCTCCATATGGAAGGACTTCCTCCGAAGTGCTGCTAATTCTTTCTTGGTGCGCCATTTTCGAACGGCTCCTGACTTTTCTTCAGAGGTACATGTTTGAGATTTGTTTTGCATATATTCCTCAGTGAAGCCTAAGCATTTTTCAAGACTATCAAGCATAGATGACAAACTGTCTTTCTCAGGGGTTAGCCCTCCAGGCGCATGAGAATGTTTGGAGTTGGGCACGTTAGGGAAACTTCCAAATTTGAGTGCTTCAGTCGAATTGTTTTGAGGAGCTCTCTCTTGAGCATGGGAGAGTGGAGGCATTGAGGAATTTGCTTGGTTGGGATTGGGATTTGGATGGATGGTTTCAAAGCTAGTTGCCTCTGATCTTAATTGGGTAGAGGAAGAATCAGAGGAGCTCTCTCTTGAGGATTCTTCAAAACCAATAGCAGTTAATGGATCTCCTTCTGATGTACAGGCTTGCAAAATGTTTAAGTCACAGATCAACAGCCACCACATTGCTTCCGCAACTGATAAGGATGGCCTCACCTCCCTAAGCACACTGATCATTTCTAGCATTGTGTACTCCACCAGGTGCTGTAAATTACCAAACTCATTATCTCTTGAAGCATCAAAACCCTTC